CAAGCTCTGCAACAGCATCTGAAGTTCACATACAGATCAGAAGAAAAGAAAATGGTTTACATCCAGAAAAGTCACCCCACTAATTCTTCTTCGTTCTCGTTTTAGTCGACAACCGTGCTGCCCATAAATGAGAACATACACACATTACATCTTTCTGTCTTTAAAAAGACTTTTCATTGATTTCCATTTATTTCTATAGCCTAACCCTGAAACTAAACCACCTTTAACCATTACATGCCTACACTTAAGTCCTAAATCTAATCCGTAAACCCAAAACTTTTCACAAGGCCTGCACTTCAGGCTCCATAAGGAGCCCTGGGTCCTCACAGTGTAGTATTTGTTGAAAATACAAGCCTTACAAGAAATGCTAAACAACACACACATGCACGCAAACATAAGATGACGCACCATGTAGATCTCGGATAATCCTCTGAAGCTGGCTCTCTCCGACCGCCATGGCCCCTCTTGTTGCTCTCTGAGTAAGTCACCGAGTCATATCCAGCCTGCTGAGTCAGAGAATCACAATAAGTATGGAACAAAAGATTGTCACAATTGCTTCCACCATGATCTTGCGTGGACATAAGATAAATAAACCATAATCCATGGTTAAATGGTCAGAACATAAACCAGGTCAAGGAAGAAAACTATTTCTAGACTAGTAATTATGTAAAAAGTCATACATGTCATAATACCGAATAAAAGAGGGTACACTTTGCATGACTTTATGCTAAGTAGTTCACATAATTGAAATGTCAGTCACTGCATTTCCCCATTCACTAAGTGATCATTTGGCAAAACATCAGAATGCGTAATGCACACTGCCAGGGCATAAAATTATGACACCAGCCTTATAGTTTGTTGTAGCACCTTGCAACGTGTTATTAGCATCAAATCTTTTAAGTCCTAAATGGTGCAATATGGGGCCTCAAGAGGTCAGACATCAATCTGTACCACCTTTTGCAGTTCTCCTAATTATGTAACCATAATCACTGTGGTGTACTGTCAGCAGTGGACTCCAGGCAGTTCAAAATGATGTCTGAAACTAAAAAACACTCCCAACCTTTTGACATTCTCACCTATTATTACAGATTAATTTCTCACATTTTAACAGGAAATATAATATCATCATGGAGGCAACAGAAACTACAAAACATATGTCCTTGCCAGTGAAATTGAGTCACTGTGTTTACATTTCTTTAAATTCAATAAAGCCAGAATAGGGACATGTAACATGATTTTATCAATTAATCTAAGTGTTAGCTTGTCCTGCCACTACTAACAGGAGTGTTTGAACACTCCTCTGAGAAAAATGGCAATACTGAAGCAGAGTAAACTCTCTCATGACAGAAAATTCATCAAAAAACATATTTATTACAAAGACAATTAAATACGGACACATGTCCTTACAGCTGGCGCAAATAATGTGCTGTGTATTGAAAATGTTGTTTGACACAGAAAGCTAGCACAACTCAAACGTTCAACCAAATTGTTCTCCAAAAGCTAACTTGAGGTAACGCGAATTAAGTTAAAATGTAACACGAGTAATAATGGTTTTACAGCTCTGAACGGGTTACTCTGAAATAAAAGCGGGAGAAAACGCACGTAAAATAACTTTTACAACTCTCCAAGAGTACTTACACAAAGGATTTAACACACAACGCCAAATAACTCGGAAAGCCCGCAATAATAACCATGACATCAACACACAGTTATTGTTTGGACAAATTAACATCTTTCTAAACGGTTTCTAAACAAATAAAAACAGAACAGTTCTTAAAACTATACATACTTCTTTTAGATGTGAGTTAAACCCATAGCGATGAACTGTGAACAGTCAAACTTGTTAAGAGTCATGTGATTGACGGCACCAACTGTCCAATGAGAAAGCGCCCTGAAGCCGTCTGACCAATCACCTGGGGCATGTGGGCGGGACTTGGAAAGAGAAGGTTTGGTTGATTTCTCACAGTAAACACTGCGGTCATGTGATCAATGACGCCTCACTGAATGCCCCACTTCTTTTTTTTTGAATGAAGAAAGAGGTCAAACTTGCGTATAGATTTATTTGAAGGGAAATCAAAACATCTCATCATATTATTTCATGTTGTTATCTCCTAAATTATCTGTTTGAACTCTGTTGAACTTTGACACTAACTTTATACAAAACTCCAACATACGTGGAAAATTTCTTTACTGACTTGAATGATCTTCTGTCTCTCATATGCATTGATTATGATTGTTGAATAATTGTTGGTGATTTCAACATTCATGTGAACAAACCCCAAGACAGAGGGGCAAAAAAGCTCTTTAATATTTTTGAAAATTTTGGTTTAACACAACATGTCAAACAAGCAACACACACTCAAGGACACACACTGGACCTGGTTATCAGTAAGGGTGTGAATATTTCCAATATCTCTGTCGGATCACTTCGCTGTTATCTTTGAAAGATTTTATTATTTAACCCACTTGGAAAAACAGCTACTATCACAAAGCGTTCTTCCACAGAAAACACAGCAAAAACATTTAATCAAATCTACTCTTCTTCGTCACATGTAATGATGTAGATAAGTTGGTAGATGATGTTCAGTCTAAAGTTTCATACATCATTGATTCTATTGCCCCAATTAAAGTAAAGGTTGTGTCTGGTAGGAAGAAATCTCCATGGAGAAATGCACAAATAGTTCGATCTGCAAGACAACTCTGTCGCAGGGCAGAACGAAAATGGCGTAAAACTCAACTTCATGTTCATAATGACATCTATGAAGAAAGACTATGTAATTATCACTCAACACTAAAACATGCAAAGGAGGCTTTCTTTGCAGATGTCATAAACAAAAACATCAACAATGCTCGAACTTTATTTGCAACAGTTGACAGGCTCACAAACCCTCCTGTGACGTTACCACCTGAACTCCAATCTAACAAGTTTTCCAGTTCCTTTTCAGAGAAAATTAAAAAAATCAGAGGATTAATCTGCACATCAACTCTAAAGCCAGAACCATTGCAGTACCTAAACAAAACAATTACAGGAAAAATTACCCATTTTCAACTACTTAATTATAAAACCCTAGAAGAAATTATAAGTCAATTAAGTTCAAGCTCCTGCTGTCTGGATGTCCTTCCCACACATTTCTTTAAGAAAGTCCTGCCTGTTATTGCTACTGATCTGATCCAAATAGTAAACTCTTCACTCACATCAGGCGTTTTCCCCCAGGCTTTGAAAATAGCAGTCATCAAACCACTGTTAAAAAAGAACAACCTGGACAAATCACTATTGCAGAATTACAGGCCAATCTCAAACCTCCCATTCATCAGCAAAGTTATTGAAAAAAACTGTGTGTAAACAATTAAATAGTTTCCTCATGATGACCAACTGCTTTGACACTTTCCAGTCTGGTTTTCGTGCTCACCACAGCACGGAGACTTCCCTCGTAAAAGTATTCAACGATATCCATATAAATACGGACTGTGGGAGAACCACAGTGCTGGTTCTGTTGGACCTCAGTGCAGCCTTTGACACTGTCGACCATGACATATTACTGAATCGACTGGAGAATTGGGTTGGACTCTCCGGTTCGGTGCTTGACTGGTTTGAATCCTACATAAAGAACAGGGATTTCTTTGTTTCAATTGGAAACTTCTCATCAAAGAGGTCAAAGGTCACATGTGGGGTACCCCAAGGTTCAATCTTAGGACCCCTCTTATTTAATATTTATATTCGCTACCATAACTATGTGGATGACACTCAGCTCTACATTACGATGTCACCAGGTGACTCTGAACCCATCCAATCACTGAATAAATGCTTAGAGCAGATAAATGTGTGGATGTGCCAAAACTTTCTCCAGCTGAACAAAAACAAAACTGAAGTCATTATTTTTGGACCTAAAGAGGAACGATCTAGAGTCAATGCACAGCTTCAGTTATTACAACTAAAAACTAGCGATCAGGCCCGAAACCTGGGAGTAGTGATGGACTCGGACTTGAACCTTCAGAGCCACATAAAGACAATTACAAAGTCGGCCTTCTATCACCTGAAGAACATCTCCAGGATTAGAGGACTAATGTCTCAGCCAGATCTAGAGAAACTCATTCATGCGTTTATCTTTAGTCGCATTGATTATTGTAACAGCGTCTTCACAGGTCTGTCCAACAAATCAATCAAACAGCTGCAACTGATCCAGAATGCTGCTGCTAGCGTTCTCACTAGAACCAGGAAGATAGAGCACATAACACCAGTTTTAAAGTCCCTCCACTGGCTCCCTGTAGCTCAAAGAATAGATTTTAAAATACTGTTGTTAGTTTACAAATCACTGAACGGTTTAGCACCACAATACATCAAAGATCTGCTGTTGTTGTACTTTTTGTGTTTATGATGTAAAGCACTTTGAAAGCCTTGCTGCTGAAATCTGCTACACAAATAAAATTTTATTTGATTTTAATTTGTTGATATATTTAAAATATAATATTTTCTTGTTGAAATTTGAAGGCCAAAAATGAGCCAAAACGTAAATTGAAATTAACGTTACCAAAATCTAAATCATGCGTGACTACTTGTTTTGTTGGGAATTTTTATATCAGTTAATGAAACAATGTAGTGATGAAGATGCATTCCGGTGTCACAGATTCACATGTGCCACACACAATGATAGGGTAAAAAAAGCTCTGTGTCAAATGTTTAAGATTGCACTTGACCAAACAAAACGACAACAAAAATGTATTTGCTTATTCCTGTTTTAAAGCGATGCATGCATTTTCAAATTTATACTAGCATTACCTTTCATCTGACTGTGCACTCGGTGCATTTTTCTGTTTTTTAAAGCAACATTTACTACTATGCATTACAAAGAACAGCTCAGATCTTTATGTAAGTAATCAGAAGTTTTTAAGGTATGGCCTCTGTCAGGAGAAATGAAAACAAAATAAAATGTTGTTTTTGTGGTGTGCTCTTTGTCAGTAGGCTATACAACCAAGCCTGAAGCAGATGGAGGAAGTGAAAAGCAGGTGGTTACTATTTATTAGCTGCTTCTGAACATTCAGTATTACATTCAGTATCTCATGAGGAACAAGGTAAGTTATTCTGCTCTCCAAAGTAAATACAATGCAGGTATTAAAAGAGATTTTATTGCAACACTAAATTCAACATTAAATTTATTTTGCAGGTTTGACCATATCAGCTATGGAATACTATTTTAACTCTACATATGAATACGACCAGGACTATGAAGATGAAGTCTGTGACAAAAGTGAAGTGGTTAAATTTGGATCCTTCGCCATTCCAATTTTCTTTTCTATTGTCATCACTCTGAGTCTCACAGGAAACATCCTCGTCCTTGTCATCTTGGCTTTGTATGAAAACATGAAATCTCTGACCAACATCTTCATTGCCAATCTTGCCATCTCTGACCTTGTCTTCACTATCGGTCTCCCCTTCTGGGCCATCTACGATGTCTGGGGATGGGTGTTTTCAGAGACTGCCTGCAAGATTGTGCATTTTGTCTTTTTCACTGGGTTTTACAGCAGTGTCCTCTTTCTGACCATAATGACCATCTACAGATATTTGGTTGTGGTTCATCCGCTCTCTGACATGAGTTCTCTAAAAGTTGGGACTGGTTTTTTTCTGTCTGTCCTCATGTGGATGATCAGCATTGGAGCAGCCATGCCATCCCTGCTACAAACTGCTCTTGTCTCAGTCCATCACAATGGCACAGACTCCTCGGGCTGTGAATATAAAGACATGCAATGGAAAGTCATTGGGATGGCCCAGCAGAATGTTTTCTTCTTGTGTGCATTTGCAGTGATTGGTTTCTGTTACATTCAGATTTTAAAGAGGATCAGCAGAACAAAGTCCCGGACAAAGAACAGAGCAGTAAAATTAGTTTTTTGCATCGTGGCCGTCTTTTTCATAGGTTGGGTGCCTTACAACATGGTGATCTTTTTGAGAGTTTTACAACACAGTGAAGTTCAGCCATTTCATCATTGTGATATGAGTATCCAGCTTGACTATGCCTTTTACATTTCTCGACTGATTGCTTTCTCTCATTGCTGCTTGAACCCTGTCTTCTATGCATTTGTTGGTGTGAAGTTCAGAAATCATTTAAAGTCACTGCTGCATCGAATGTTCAGCCGGCGGGCTCCAATTGATGATCAGAAAATAAGAATGCAGAATCTTGTATCACGTGGCTCAATGTACTAGATGCAAATATATTCATCCTTGAATATTAGATTAGATTTTTTTTGATAATTCCATGTTTATGATTTAAAGATAAGTAGATTGTTTTTAAGATATATGATCTGTAATGTTAAGAGAAAGCGCTCCATATTTGAGCTTTTCAAACAAACTATTCAGCTGTCTGAAGTTTTTTATGACTAATGCAGGTGTTGGAGTGAAGACAATGTAGGGGTCTTATTGCTTTATGTGATATACTTGAATAGATTTAAAGCGTCTTAAATCAATCAAATCCTTTACACAACAGTCTATTATGTAAAAAGAGAGAAAACAGGAACTGATAACAAATATGTATGTATTGCATTACTCAACCAATCACTTGATATCTGCAGGCTTGTAAAAATGCTGAGCTTGTCCCTCTGTTTCTCATTTTAAAATAAAATGTCAAATGTAGAAGGTTAAATCAAGGCAAAGGATAATTTCTTCAACTTGTTGTGCTCTCTCACTGCTGCCTGTCTCCTATGCATTTGTTGGCGGGAAATTCAGAAACCCTTTAAAATCCCTGCTGCACTGAGTGGTCAGCTGTCTGAGTCCAGTTGACAACCAGAAAGTCAGAATGCAGAATCTTGTCTCGTGTGGCTCAGTCTAATAAATGCAGCCTGCCCCAGTCTGCAATAGGGCAGACTGGGGAGAAAAAGTGGCTCAGGAAGTCCTGACAGGCTGGTCCTTCTGTTAAGGTTATATTTTACAGTCTGTAAATAATCCTTTTCTTCCAAATTATTTGAAATGTAAGTTAATTTCTGTATGAGCTGCTGTGCAGCAGTTTAATTGTTTTGTATTTGACTTTTACACTGTAATTTATATTTGTAAAGTCATGTGAATTTTTCAGTGAAATAAAATTCTTTTATTTAACATATTAAAAAGGTTTAATTATTTAATAAGTAAAGTAATTTTCAAGTAAAGTAATTTTACAAAGGATTTTATAACTCAGAGCAAAGATTATCTTTACATGCTGCAAACATAGAAACAAAATTCACATCTCTTTTACGTTTAAACAATGCCATCTTCTGCTGGCTCAAAACATTGCATCCACACATTTGAATATTAATAGAAACACGTTTTAGAGTTGATTCTGTAATTAGAGCAGTAAAATGGTAAGTTGAAGGTTAGATTTTAATGAATTAGTATGATCAAGATAAAAACATTTAAAAATGTCCAAAACAGCAAGGTCAACTGTTTTTCTCTGTCTTGTTTTACAAAATGAATTGGTAGACACAAACATGGATTCCTGCTGAAAATTAATTCTGTCAAACTAATGAATCTTCACAAAGAGAAAAGAGGGTGTCAGGCATAACTTATTAAAACAGGAAATAGAGGTTTCCTGTTTTCGTAAAGGGCTAATTAAACCCATATGATATAAGAGTTTACTAACACGATCTAAAAAAATAACCACACCAGAAAAAAGTGCTATGATAGACAGAAGGTGTAAAGTCAGAGTGTCATATCAGTACCAGTTCCATGAGAAGGAAGGTAAGTTGTTTTTGAACTTATCAAAAGGCAGTGGCTATAAAACAGGAGTTGTGATTTGGCTCTAAATGTAGCTATCTCTTAAAAAAAATAAAATAAAAATAATAATAATAATAATAATCACTTCATCAGCAACAAAGAACTTTTCCAGCTTTATTCACAGATGTGAAAGATTTGTGTCAAATTTCTCTTTCTAAGCTGTTTGTTTTCATTGATGCCATAGCGTTGCTGAAAGGAGGGTTGTGCTAAACTGATAAATACAGTTAAATATTCTGTTGCAGGTTCCACTTCACCAACTATGGATTCTTCTTTAAACTTCAACTACGACTGTGGTAACAATGTCTGTGAAAAGAGTGAGGTCAAGTTTGGAGCCGATTTCTCAGTGCTCTTTTCTATCGTCATCTCTCTGAGTCTGATAGGAAACATCCTCGTCCTTGTGATCTTGGCTTTGTATGAAAACCTGAAATCTTTGACCAACATCTTCATCTTAAACTTGGCCATCTCTGACCTCGTCTTCACCAGTGGTCTCCCCTTCTGGGTCATCAGCCATGTCTGGGGATTGGTGTTTCCAGATATTGTCTACAAGTTTCTGACTTTTGTTCTTTTCATTGGGTTTTACAGCAACATCTTCTTCCTCACCATCATGTCCGGCGTCTACAGGTATTTGACTGACGTCCATCTGTTCAGAAAGAGTCATTTGGGTTTTCTGTCTCTCTCTGTATGGATGATCAGTATTGCACCAGCAAGACTCCACACCTACCCAATTGGTACACAGAACAGTGAGTCCCACAATATTCAACTGAAAATTGCCTTGCAGAATTTTCTTTTCTTTACTACATTTGGAGTGATTGCCTTCTTCTGTATTCACATGTTCATGAGGATCAAAAGAACAAGGTCTAACACATTGAAAAAGGCAGTTATCTCAGTTTTCTGTACTGTAGCTGTGTTTTTCATCGAATGGATACCTTACAATGTTGTAAATATTGTGAGTGTTTTTGCACCCAATTTGGGTCGGCTGTCAAAAGTGAACCTAGAGCTTGCATTTCATGTGAGTCAGCAGCTTGCTTTCTCCAGTTGCTGCTGGAAGCCTGTGGTTTATGCAATTATTAATGAAAAGTTCAGAAGCAACTTGATGTCATTACTGCTTAAAATCTGCAGGAGAAAAAACCCAGTTAATGAAGAAGAGGTTAGAGTGCAAAACCCTTCTCAGCCTCCATAATTCTATTATTTTTTTCCCGTCCTTTCATCAATATACTCATACCTGCAAATTTTACAAGTGCTTTGATTTGGCTGCTTTTAACTTAACAGTGGAGTTGTGACTTTTCCCTGTTATATTTGCATGCATGTATAAATGGATGTCATAATACATATTTTTGTTTTGAATTTCTTTCTAGATGTTTTTAAACATGTGCTTTGTATATATTTTCCTTAAAAATAGCTAAATCAGCCAAAAGGGAAAGAAGATCAGCAGCAAAGGTTTAACATGCAAAATAAAATATACACTGGGTAAAATATATATATTTCTAATAATATAAATGACAGGAATTTCAGTCCATACATACGATATGAAGTACTCAAGTTAAATCAATGCATTCATTCAAATAAATGCATCCATTTGTAAGGACTTTGGATGGAAGAAATACGAGCACTGAACGCAGAAAAAAAGCATATGCAAAAAATAATAATAATAATAATAATAAATTACAAAAATGTTTGGTAAAATTCTTCCACAAAACACTCATGGACCTTCCTTCGTCCAGTCGTATGCTCTGATGCTGGATATGACTGCTAAATGGAAAGTCAGTCTTTAAGGAAAAATAATCAAACAATGACACGTTGCTCTGTCAAATGTGACCAATGATGCATCAGGGTATTTTGTATATTATCTCTAACATGTTATGTTGTGAGTGGAAATGAACCCTAAAGTTTTTAGGCTGCATTAGGGGTCAGGCTGTTTGAGTTCTTTATTGATTATAGACATGGCTGCGATTTTAATCTGTCTTTTTTTTTCATTAATGGTCCAGTGTCATGTGTTTTCCAGCCAAATCATGCCATTTTATAGCACAATTAAATAACCATGTCATGTTTCCTTCAATTGTAATACAAGTGCTGTATATGTGTATGTGTATAAAATTGGACTTTGTAATTTAATGTATTCAAATACAGCTTCTGTCATTTTAAGAAACTTTTGCTCTGTCACTCTGCCTTCAAAAAGTCTTCACAATAGTGCTCTTTACCTTCACAATGTTTTTACCAGCATTGCACTGAGAAGTAGTTTTCATAATAAGCTCAGCAGAGGTGCAGATCCCCCAATTAGGTGTTTGCTAATTGCTGCTGGCTAGTTTGAAGGAGTGCTTTGGGGGCGGACGGGTGCTCTGTTAGGCGGAACCCCAGAAATGTGGAATTCAGATGTAAAGAGGGACTTCATGCTCCAAGGTGTTGCTTTGTTCCCAGAGACATTTTATACACCCGAATAGTTGCCATGGGAGATTCAAGGATTTCTCAAACAACAGGTATGAATAAGTACAAATATTAGCTTATTAAACTTGAATTGTAAGGTTTAACAATTGCTGCAATTTAAACCATATAATTTTTTCACAATGTGCAAGAAAAAACCGCCCTCACCTGGAGCACACACTTCTGTTATTTTCACTCATATTACTGAGTTTAAAATGATAACTTATTTTACCTTAGAATAATTTAAAATCTTGTTTCAAATTGCATGAAAAGAATTTATGATCTGACAATGAATTCTGGTCAAAAACATTTAGTGTGAATAGGACATTAAAATTGAGAATCTTATTAAAATTAACATTTGCCTTAATAACACACAAGAGGCAAGGCAATGTAACACACTTCCATCTCTCTGACTGTGGCACACAGGATACAAAAACATGCTGCTAAGCACACTGGGAAGTAATTCTGAAAGAGCTAACTGCAAGTTGGGTTTGTTAATATATGCTTGTTCTAATTTAACCAAAAATGCATTATTTGTTTCTAAGTATTATAAAATGACACTGAAGCAAATAGAAGTGTGAGGCTTGCAAGTTGTTTTTTTTTAAATTACACACTTTTATATCAGAATTACATTACATTTTAAAATGCAGGGGCTGGTTCAGTTCATACTGTTAATTTTGATCCAATCAAATTTAAAGTCTGAAATTTGCTGTTTGTTTGCCTGCATGTTTTAAACTGATGTAATGCTAACTGTAAATTATGTGATTAGTAGTTATGGATATTTGTGCTGGTCTTAGCTGTCATTCACTAATGATATGTGCAAAAATATCACTACAATCTTTAAAGGGCTCAATGTGTTAGTATAACATCATGCAATTTGACAATAAACATAACAGCAATCAATGTGAACATGTTAATATGGAAATGACAGAATGAGTCTGTCTGTGTAGATAAAAAAGTTACTTAACCAACTAATATCTGCAAAAGATATAATGATGATTAATACTAACCTGTCATCACAGTTTGATAAACTGCAACCAGGACAACCAGTGAAACCACAGCAGTATTTCCAAATACGTAACCATGCTAAGCTCAAAACTCTATTTCTTTTTCACATGTCTACTTACTTAACTCTGTTGGTCATATTATGTGCAATGCATACAAATATAATTTCAAAACATTTAAACAACATGTCATAGATTGTCATATCTAAGACCCCAAATGCTGTAACTATTTAACACAAAAACAGTTAAGACCCAAAATATTCACAGACTAAGATTAAGAAATTAATTTTCATTTTATGTAAAACTGATTCTGACAACATTTGTTGCAAATTGGTGCTATGTAAATAAACTGAATTGAAGGGAGCTGAATAGGCTGTTTGGCGATAAGATTTAGAAAAAATCCACTTTTTGAATTGCAGCAGCATTTTTGAGGACTGGGTGCCATCTTCTGGTGGATTAAAGCACTGCATCCAAGCATGTCCCTTCAACTGTTTATATCATCATATAAATAAACAGTTAATGTTTCCCGTCAAATCATTTTAGTGGTTTATGTATTTACAAGGTTTTCCGTGGAAAAGGAAATGTCTCGATGAGGTTTGTTGTGAAGGTAGATCATGATTCATTTTAATTTGGTTTTCCTTTATGTCAAGCGTCTTTAAAACATGATGATAGCGAATCACAAATTCTTAACAAAGTGACCAAACTTTTATTTGCTGGGCTTTATCTTTTAAACTAAGACTGACTTCAAAGGTACATGCCTAAGTTTTTCATTTGCCACAGACACCAAAATGAAATGGACTTTGTACCCATGTGAGAAAAGAGTTCCCCTAATGTATCAAACCTAATGAAGAACGAAACTTATTTCTTGTCAGTTATTGCCACTCAACTTATTATTAGAAACAGTAAGTTAATATGTTATTTATCTTATGTTCCTGTTGCTGAGGGCGTGTTCAGTGGTTCGTTTAGACTTCCTTAATCAGTGTGTTGCTGCACAGCACACACACAACACAGTGAACTGCCACGGAAGAAGAACTTGTTGTTTTTTCCTAAGACATCCTTTAAGTTTCTTCAACTTTTGTTAAAAATGGTATGACTTTTTTTTTATCTCATTGAAGTTTAAAAATGTATATAAATATTTTAGATATTAATGAGATTGTTATTATCTTATTAAGACTATTATAATGTTATTTTATTGATGATACTTATTAAATGTTTGCCATGAATTTGAATCCATAGACATCAAGATAAACTTAAAAGTAATTGATTACACTTCTCTGTGAATCAATGTTATTTGGCCATTCTGAATTAGAAGTGTGTTATATTTTAACAACTTTACATTTTATAGATCTGGGCTTGGATTTTTATTGGCCTTACCTTCATCTCCAAGCTGCATGGGTATTCAAATGGCGACTTCCCAGAGGCGTGTGAGTCAATGAGGCCTCGTCATGGTCGTGGTGGGGCAGAGAGTCTTCCTGAGACATCTGAACCCCCTTACATGGTTAGTTACCAGCTCAGCAGTAACGTTGGAGACCCAATCACAGGTAACCAGAATGACTTCCTGTGTTCTGCTGCCATGTTTATAAAACCTTTGCTTTAGATGTAAACATATGGCAGGCTTGCTATCATATTTTTTATTATATAAAGCACTTTGAACTGCTGAAATGTGCTATGCTAATAAACTTGACTTAACTCACTCATGCTGTATTTTAAAAATATTGATCTTTTGGCCTTCAACTTACATAGATTTCCAGCCACAAACTTCCAGGCATTTAATTGGGATTTTAACTGATCACCTTAACAAACACCAGGTAGTACAGAATTGTGAAGTGGAAGAACTGTTTTATTTATTTGCTTTTCTATAAATAAAATGCATACAATTGGTGTTCAATTATATTGAGCACAATAATTTTAAGGGTTCTTGGAAGATGTGGTTCTACCAGTTTTGCACTTCCACCTGTTGAAATCTTAAAACATACATCTCTAAACAGTTGGATGATATTACTCAGCTATTGTGTGGACTCTATTAATTGTTCCTTCAGAAATTGGTTGATTGGTTGCACTGGACTGTATTTAAATTTTTTAAAGAGAAGGCAATAGATGGTAGATAAATGCACATCGCACTTTTCAGATTTCCAGTTGCATGTTGAAAACAACAGCTTTTCTTCCACAACACAGTAGTGCATGATCTACTTTAGACTGATCTATGATATAAATTCTCAATAATACTAAGGGCAGGTTGTAATTTTTATTTGACAAAATGTGCACAAGTTTAAGGACTATGAATACTTTTGCAAAGCATTGTGAAACCACATATTCACCATCTTTACTTCATGATAAATTTTAATTCACAGTTTCCCTCGAAAGCAAGAACGGTTTCATGTTTAGAGGATTCATGCTGGAAGCTCGTAACCTGAGCTTAAATGGTGACGGTCCCCCACTTGGGAAATTTATCATGCTTGACTCTGACCAGTCGATACTCCTGAAATGTGGCAATTCACAGGTAAGCTCAACTAATTCATAGTGATCTCCCCTGATAACCTCATTCATCTTTCACATATTCTGTCGTACTGGAGGGAATGAGTTTCAGATGATGTTTTCTCTTTTGTGATTTTTGCACTTGTCAGGACTCAGCTGTGGGTAATGCCCACAATCTGGCCAAAAGATTAGTCAAAGTAAACTGGACCGCAGACGGAGAAGAGCAAGGCATTGTATTCAGGTAACTTTTATACCTGAACATAATGTTTACATTTGTCCAATTTACAGTATCACCGTCAAAAGTCTGTTATTATCTCATGTTGCATCCTACAGAGCTACTTTCCTTGAATCATACTCAAAGTACTGGGAACGTGTAAATGTAACAGTGCTCAGACTCACAAGCACTCCAGAACCACAGACAACAACTGCAACAGCAACAACTGCAGCAGCAACAACTGCAGCAGCAGCAACAACCCAAATACATACAACAAAAGACATAATCACAACAGTACAAAGTAATACAATCCCAGCCACACACAACACAACAAATAAGGTAAATCAGAGTTTTGCAGTATTGCCGGAGTGACAGTATTCTCGTTAACCTTTTTCTTTTTACTCTAGACAGTAATTATTCTTCTGATTTGCGTGGCAAGTCCTCTAGCGGAGATGAGCATGGTGAGTGATCTATAGGAAAGTATAGATGAAACCATGATAAGCATTTATTTAAGCTGTGATGTTCTTTTGAAAACACCAAACAAAGCGTACAAAAGTAAAGTGCTCCTTCCCTGTGTCTCATCAGCAAATACCTATCATAATTATGGCTGTCCATCTCACATCATCATTGTGTCATCACTTACATCTCACAACATCGTTTTGTCATGACTTATGTAAGGTAAGACAGGAATTGATGGATTTTTTGGTGTAAGTTCTTACAGCTTCTGGATTTAATAAATGTTAATGCTTGTTAAGCTTTGATAGATGACTCTTGTAATAGTAGCTGCTCTAAACCAGGAGTTGAAATGGGAAAAACTGACACCAAAACAAGTAGAGGACAAGAAGACAGACAAAAGAAGTGTATTCTCTGTCTGAAATTTAATAGCACAACAAGGTCATTTAAACATTATATATCTCTGAATTAGTGGAAGATTCCTATATTTTTTTTACATTGTGGATGAGAGGAGTATAGTCTCTGAAAGACCAAATCAGAAATGTTCTTGTGCAATACAGGATATTGATGTCATCAAATCTCCATATCCATTCAAGGTTTTTCACACTTCGATGTCAAAAATATGCATTAGTCAGGTTATTTAAACTATTATTAAGATGTGTAAAATGTGTTTATTTCTGTGTTTGTAGAAGTTCAGGATTGCAGGCAGTTCACTTTCTGTTTTGTTTTCCTTGGCAACACTCATTTTATCCTTGATATACAACTCCAGAGTAAGTACTAATCATTGATGCAACACTGCGACATGTGAGGACATTTCTTGATCATAAACAGCTTATTTTTATTTGCGCAAACTTTCACATTTTAGGATGTCATTATTGGCCTTGTGAGTGTTGTGCTGGCGATTAGTTCCATGGAGTGGATCCTTGCAGTGCTGCCTTTGGGACCAAGCCATGAGCTGTGAGTTGAAGCCTTCCTCCTGCACAAAAATATTTTCACTTTGACTTTATCTTGAACATTCACCAGCTAACTATTCTCCGTTTAATTGCTTTGGTTAAGAAATGAACTCGTTGACTGTGCCCTTTGGGTGTGTTTTGTCTTCCACCAAGTTTTAATAAGTAAGTAGTCGTATATCAACCAAACGTCTTTTGTGTTTTCTTTATTTTTAGAAAATAAAATATATATACTGTATATATATAACAGTATGACATTTGGGATAACGTTTATCAATTGCTGGTGCAAAAATATAGAATTACTCTCACATAGCTCATAAATCATTGGCCATGAATGAATTACAGTAATCTTCAAATCATTTGCACCTGTGGTAAACCAGCATCAAATATTTTCATCCTATTGCAGGAGCTAATCTGGTTGTAAAGTATGATGTGAAATTATTTGGTTGGAATATACATTAGAATATTTGGAATAAAATCACTAGTAGCATATAACAATAACCTGCAAATGAGTGCAACTTCATTTGTCAAGAAACCTTTGACACGTTATCACTTCCCACTTCGTTGGATATGAATATAGGTTGACACAAGAGAAAATCCCAATTATCTTAAGACTTTAATACAACTTTTCACTCATGATATTTATGAAGGGTGCTGTAAGTGTAATTATTTTTGATACATATCGTGGTTCTGAGGGTTGATTTTTTTTTTTTTACTTTCACATTTTCAAATTTCACATTTCCTTGTCATTTTAGCCAGTCCAAAGAACCTTTCTAATGTCCCAGTGTTTTGTTTTTTTTCAATACAAAAGATTAAACATTATAAAAGCTAAAATGTAAAGCACTGCCAACCTGTATAATATACGGCTCAACAGTTTATATTTTCAAAATTTATCCACACAGATGTTTTTCTCTATGTCGGAATCAGCAGCTTGTTTGAGGAATGGGGACAAACAACAAGAGTGTTTTGGCTTCTGATTGTTCACACATCCTTGACAGTAGTTTGGAATATGGTGCTCTGCGCCAAGAAGAAAACATTACTGCAGAAAAAAAGAGGTGAGTAATTTGTCTTTCTCTCAAAAAATGTTAATAACGTACTGCTATATGTTGTGGATTCATATAAAAATAAACAACTTTCATTACAGTTTCTGTCATCGGTAAGACTAAATACAATCAGCATCATAAAGGAAACAAGGTAAAACAGTGAATGTGATACAAATAAGTTTGCTCTGCTTTGAATGCTTGAATCCCTACAAATGTTTTACTTTACAATACTAAAATGTTCATATATCTGTTTCTGGGTTTCAGGAGCATCTCTCACCAAAAGGAGTGGTTGTTGTACTCTGTTCTGTTACCCTGGTGGTTTTGAGCACATCTCTGTCAGTACTAATCTTTGTTGACTATTTTTGATGCTGAGGAGCTGCATCAAAAATAGACTTATTCACACACCTAGTAAAGAAGTGGGTGGGGGGAACTTAAAATAAATCAAACGTTCTCCGACAGTGACTTTAATTATTATTATTTCCTTTGCTTTCTTGTTTACTGTAAATGGTTGCTGGACAAACTTGACTCCCTGTACAGTCTTAATTGGACACTTCATGTCATTTAAAACATGTGATCACTGCTGCAAGACAGACAATGTTGATCTTCTCACTTCTAAACATTATCTGTCTTACTTAAATGGCATGCTCATATTTTTCCCAATTTAAAGAGAGGCTAATAGAATTGAATTACTGTTTAATGTGCAGACTCTTTGTTCAACTTGTAAAAGCAAATTACAATTGGGATTTTTTTTCTCACAAAAAATCCATGCATTCAAAAGATTATAAGTTAAATACTTAGACATGTAAAAGTCGACCTTTTTACAACTTTTTCCACATCTTCACTGGGTGTGCGAATAAATGTAGGCTATGAAGAATATTGGAAACAATATACAATATAGCATGTTTAATCAAAAATATGGACATATGCGCCCTTTCTCCCTCTTTTAAAGATGTTAATAATTTCAAAGATTAATAAAAGTTGTTATTTATATGTTAGAGCCTTAACTGAAATGCAGAAAGCTCCATTGTTCAAACTGAATACTATTTCCACAAAGTTGTCTCCATTTTTTGCCACCATGTCAGCGCTTATCATTAGTTCAACATGTATCAATGGTAAAACATTTACTTTGGTTCCGGTATCATCTTATAAATGTGTATGTTTTTCTGGTAAGCTCAGGTCATCCAAAGGGATGTTTTCAATCACCAGTGGAATATTTTAAAGGCGATGCTGAGATTGAGTAGCTGCATGCAAAAAATAGCTCACTAAATCACACATATCTTTAAGATAATGGAAAAAAGTGGAAAGGTTGTTACAGCCAGAAGTAGCAAAGGGTGAGATTAAAGTAAACTGAAGAGCATGCCGTAAAACAGTTTTATTGACTGTTTAAATAGGTCAGCCTGTTGTTGATCCTTTGCACTCTTCCGTGCTTTCTTCAAAGTCCAATAGTCAAATGTATGTTCTGTTTCTTATATATTTAACAATACAATATTTATGATTTTGTACATCTTTTATAAGAAAACAGCATTTATATTTATACATTTCCAATGATTAACTCAGTTGTTAACGTCGACTAACTGAAGGTGACATCTTCTAAATTTTCTTCAGCTTCCTAATTTCTCACAAGTCCTGCAGAATCTTCTCATATTGGGGCAGATGTTGATTATGTACTACTGCTGCCATGAAAACATGTCAGTCAAAAGACCCAGTGCTTCTGTCTTGTGATCTCGGTTAATAAAAGGTGTGTCTCTGTACGTACGTTCCTGAGATATGTTGTAAAAGATTCATCTGCTTCTCTGTCAATAAGCCTTTACTTCCTGGTTTCATAACTGAAGTTTGTTGTCCTATTTTCTTCACTGCAAAGAAAATTTCAAAAAGTGCGTCTTGTGGTTTTTAAAAAGGCAGAGAAGGCCTTTATTTGACAGCAAAAATTAGTTTAATCATAGTCACATCTCAAATTAGACCTTTTATTTTTTTCATTAACTGAATTCAAAAAGTAGAGCTAATGTTAATATTTAAACCTAAATTCAGTTTGGCAGGAAATATCAGTCCAATGAAGAAATGTCTTTTGTTCTCAAATCTTTTGGTTATTACCAAAGCAGTCATGAACATGATGACTACCATCTTACATTCAGTTACTGACATCCTCCTTAAAAGGTCATTGTTAAAGAAGCTTCCTGTTCACAGTGCTGCATCCAATTATATTAATAGAAAAGTTAAGTAATTGTTGATTAGTTTTGGCCAGGTCTCTCTTTAAAAAAATTTTTTTTCAATCTCAGAGGGACATACATGGTTAAATAATGTTATATACTTACTTCTTCCTACAGTTTGAGGTAAGCAAATCATAACTTTTTAGTGTTGCCAAAACCTGCTTCAGGGCTCAACCTTTAGTCAGTTTCATTTTTAGTTTACGATTCTGACTGTAATGTGGTTTGTTTTCTATGCTGTACATTGTTCTGTATTCTGATCGATTACCTTTCTTGTGAAGCACTTTGTGACAGGACATGGCTCAAGAAATTGAGTTTTTTTTTTGTCCCTGTTTGCATCTGGATTTTTTTTTTATGTCTGCTGACAAATAGCTTCTTTCTTGCCAAGTGACCTTCCAGCCTATATTAGAACATGTGACCAGCTTCAGCCAGCATTTTCACAGTCATAGGCTTTTGTTCTTGGATTGATTTGCACATTTTGGACCAAAGCAGATTTATGCTTAGGACATAAAACATGTCTCCTTCATTGACAGTTAAATATTTAACTTTGTAAAAAGTTGTAACTTCTTATCGTCTTCAAGCCATAATCACCTAGTTGACAATAACAAGTACTTGGAAGATGTCACTTTGTGTGTTTTGAATCTATACACCACTTTCTTTTTTTTTTTTTTTTTTTTTTACTGAATTGCTGAAATAAACGATTCGATATTAATTAAAGCTTTAGACAACTGACTGAATATCAAAATAATCTTTATTGAAAATATTCAAACATTCATATGAGCAATACACAGAAAAAATTACCTCAGAGAGATAATACAACAAAATTGAAAGACAAGAATTAAAACCTATATTACATATCAATTAAGTACTGTTTGGACACACTTCTGAGAAAACACCATAGTTGTGATGCCGGCCTGCTATGGTATGAGACAGATTATGAATATTGGGATGATCAAATAGTTTGTGTGTTTAAGGCACATTTTGTATTTGACATATTCAATCAAAAATATTTTTGCAAAAAAAAAAAAAAACTCACATAAAGCCGTAGGTTTTTTAAAAAATCTACCTCATTTAAACAGGATTCCTGGCATTTTGATCCTTTTCATATCCAGCATACAGTATATATACATACAACTATTAAAAAATAAGCAAATCTTAGAAGCATATCAACAAAATACATCTTACGATGAAACATCACACAAAAAAATGCTTGTTTTAGTAAAATCCAGTATTCTGGAAAAGAACGCTTAAAGCAAACAGACACGTTCAAAAAGAATTCTCCTTTTGTTTTGTCAAAAGGAGAATTCTTCTCCTTTTGTTTTGTCCCTTTTTCTAAAAAGGGACAAAACAAAAGGAGAAGTTGTTGTCTACAGCAAAATCGAGTGGGAAAACATCCTGTATATGTCAACGTCAAGTTATATAATGTTGTTAGATCTGATCTTTAAAAGAGGGGAAAAAAATCATGACAACACAAAAAAAATGCAACTTCAGTAGGTTTTCATTTGTCAATGCGTCCTTCAAACATTTTAAAGAAAATCTGTGTGTAAAACATGTCTAAAAAGACAAATTTCTGTGGTATATCTGGTCATTGTACCCATATCACCGCATCCTTATTAAAATAAAACAAAAAAATAACTCATTGGCATTCTTCCTGCTTTACTTCCGACACCACAGGCAGAATCACATGGGAGATGCGGCTCCACAGTCCGCCGAACTTGTCAATGTCCATTTCATTGAAGGAGGCTTTGCTTACAGAGTCCACCAGCTTTGCCTCCACGTGGCTCTGCACCAGCTCCTCCACCTCCTTCAGGTTCAGCTCGCTGCCGACCTCGTCTTGCGGCAGCAGCGCAGTGAACAACAGGAACGCCTGCTTGTAGGCGGCGGTCTCGTGATCACAGTAACGGTAAAAAATGAGGGTGGAACCCGGAGGCAGCTCTTCAAAGCGGTGGATGACCACCGCTGGTTTGTCTCCCTCAAAAGCCGCTTGTAGCTGGTTGTCGACGTCCAGCTTTACCTTGTCGCTGTCCTGGCCGGCTTTACTCGCCCCATCGATGAGGAGAGCAGAGCCATTAAGGGCAGATGAGTAGGTGGAGGCCAGGCCCCGAGCCAAGCACAGCAGAGTCCTCTCTGCCTTACGACCTGCTACCAAGATCAGACTCACTGGCTCGGTTGGTTCAGCAGTTTTAAGGTGCTTCGCCAGGTGGATCTGGGTTCTCTTCCACAGCTCTTCTCGCTGACTTGGGAATTGAGACTGGAGGTTTGACAAGCTGTCAGAAAACTTTTCTGGTATCGCTTCTCGGTGTTGTCGTCCTCCTCCTCCTCCTGCTTTATTCTGCAGCACAGGGAGGATCCGGTAAGCCAGCAGGGTGGCAGAGCTGAGCAGCACCAACAAAACCAAGTGCCATAAATACCAAAAAAACCCTGCAACGATAGGAGAGCATTTAGTTCCACTTGGAATCAATCAATTGTTATTAAAATGGCACTGCACAGAGTAACAAGTATGATAACGTTAATAAATATTTATACCACCTCTACAAGAATTTCCAGAGCTTATTTGAGTCCCAGCCATTTTCTTTTTTTCATCTTAAAAAAAAAAAGTGTCAGTGTGGAAAAACCTGTCAATGTCATCAGATTTTCTTCTTTGTTTAAACAAACATACCTTGTTTTGTCAGACCATCTGCCTTTTTTTGATCAGGAATGTTGTTTACACGTGGGTGAAGGAGGCTTGGGTGCGTTTTCTCCGAAGTTGAGTACACACTTTGGAAGACTTGGTTAGGTCTGGATTCAACCAGAGACGATGTGGCTTCATTTTTGACGCAAAAAGAAAGATAAATAAATGTTAATTTTTCTCAATGCAGCTTTGTGAACATAAACTTTCTCATAGAAAACACTGAGTACCTGCGTCCCTGGCCTCCATTTTTCTTCTATACTCATCCATGCTGGTGATCGGCACGGCAGGCCTGTTCTCTGCTGGTTTAACGTGTGAATGAGCCTTGTTGGGCAATGAAGGTGCTTTTACTTCAGCTTTAAATGAAAATAAGCAAAATCAGTTTAGGACCACACATTTATTTTCCCTCCCCAAATGTAATGCTTTACCTGCAAACACAGAAATAAACTAATCAAACCGTTTCATCTTGCTGTCTTGAAGTCAAAATATTCAAACCTTTTTTAGTCTTTGTTCCTTGCGAATCTTCATTGAGAGAAAGGGAGGGTTTGGATTTATGAAGGACGACACGAGGGGAAAGGTTCATCATTTCATAGCGGTCTGTTTTATACAGAAAAAAAACCCCCAGTAAAATCCATTAAAATTGTTTATAGAAACACTAGACATAAATTATGCTCAGTTTTGATTTATAATAGCTGTGAAAACTGGGAAATCTATACAATAGAAATAACAACCACAATAAATTATTAATCATAATCTTAATTACCTCAGAGGGTTCATTGTACTCTTTTGTCTTTCCATTTTATTTTTTTTATTAAATGTAATTCTTACCGTTGTAAGTTTTTGGTTGACTGGTTTCTTTTAATGGCTCCTCAACCACATCCATTTCCAGGTCCTCGCCGTTCTCTGTGTCTTTGACCGATTCCTGGACTTCCATCTCATCATCGCTAAGGTTGTCACCCTGTTCCTCTCTGGCATCCAACCGTCTCTTCTTGGTAGGAGACTCTGTTCAATAACAATTCAAGCCACATCTGAGCACCATAATTAAAGGTGGTTCTAGTTACCTTTATCTGAGGAAATAAACTGAAAATTAGAGCATTCCACCTTCATCATCCAAGCCGTTCTCCACATTTTTTGCAGCTTTAGCTTCTGCCGATGACTGAGGTTCTGACTTCTTTCTGGTCCTTTTCAGAGGACCCCTTGGAGTTGGCTCAACTACAAGTACTGTAGAGGAAAAGAAAAGCAATTACACTGTCACATGGCACCTCTTAATGTTTAACAGGTAGAAAAAGGTCTTCAGCAAAACTTCTGAGGGTGACCTGATTTTTATCTTTAATGTCCAGAGGTCCCATTTTCTAGTACAACCTACTCTTATCACACTTTTCTAATCACTATTAATTTTTTTCAGGAATCATAGAGCAAATTATCCTTGATAATTTGACAAAAATCCCAGTCATAAGAAAGAACAATTTATGCGCTAATTCTTAGAGAGGTAATGCTCCCTAAACTCCTTTTAGCATGATGCAAAGTGTTGATCAGACTGGACCGAATGTCTTTTCCTCATTGTGAGTCATTTGTTACTATCTGTTCCCATAAACCGGCTGTGGGAGTCAAATACATCTCCCAGTGGGATTAATTACTTACTTTAAATATTTGGGCAAACTTCAGTGTTTCTATTTAAAATGTGAATAGCAAAAAATAAATAAATAAAAATAACAAAACAAATACAGATTTTTATCCTCTTGTTGAAAACTAGACATAAAATGCTGATAACAGCAGTTTGCATACTGGAGACCAAAGACTGCTATCATATAGAATAGAAACATGACATATTTCTTTTAAGAAATTACTGCTGAAGTACTTTATTAGATTACTTAATAATAATAATAATGATAATAATGCTATTGGTTATACGTAGTTTTACAGTATTTTGTACAAATGTGTTACAATAATTCATAAAATGAAAATGCACTAAAAAGCATTACAGTTATTATCGGTCATTATCACTTAAAGAATAATAATAATAGCAATTATTATTATTGGTAACAGTATTTTACAGTGACAGAAAAATAAGAGTATAAAGAGTAAAAAAAATCAAATAAACAACTGCATAAACTTGATTTCTAAGCTATACTAGTTCAATAAGAACAATAACATATATTTATTACAAAAAAAACATATTAAAGGTGATTATAATTACCACAATAATTAGTTACTTATTTCCCTTCCTCGCATATGCCCCTCTGTTTTGTCTATTGACAGGGATAACTGCGGATGATTCACCTCGTCGTGATTAACAAACAGTTGTTTAGTGCACGAAAGTAAAACCGAAAATGAAATTTGAAAGTCGCTCATAACTGTTAATTTAACCTCAGATTCGGGGTATAAATTTGATTTATTTGAATTAAATAGTAAGCATTATAGGATCACACATTAATTCCAACTTTGATTTTCAATTACAGTAGAGCTATGAAGCTAAGCTAGCTGAGGAGCATCACTGTCAGTTTGCTCACCTTTGCCCGTCCGCCTTAACGATCGTCTTAATTGGCCCGGAGCCTTATTTTTAGCCGCCTTTGAATCCATTCTTGTTCTCAAATTGATTGGATGTCGCTTCAGATCAGCAAAAATTTAAACAAAAAAGTGAAACATCCTGACATAAAACAGATAGCAGCCAGTCTGTGCGTAAACTTCTCCGTTTTGTTGCTGGGGAAAAGTTTCAGGTCCGGACTCGTTGAGTTCTATCACTGTAACGGTCTTCCGCTCTAGAAACAAGGGCCTTGCTGAACGTTCCGCCCTGGGAGTAAACAGTTGAAAGAGAAACTCCAATCCAAAGGATAAGGACTCCCTCTAATCAACGGAGATGTCAGCGGTGGAATCTTTTCTATGAATTGGTAATCTTGGATACTATATCAGTTACGCTTATTCGTTTTTAATAGCTCAGAGGCTCTACTAATATATAAAAGCTTTGTGGTCACTGACTAAATCCGTCAGCTTTGCTAACACTAGCAAGCTTCTTAGCCCTTGTCACCTGACCTGAGTCGCGTCATGTTTCTGATATACTCACCTTTTAGTAGGCAGCTCGTACCTACATTATATATCTAATTTATTTCGAGAATGCCTTGTTCAAACCACATGATAAAAGCGAGTAATTCCAGTTTTATTTGCAGTGTGCTAGCAGCTACTAGCTTTTCATTGAGTTAGCTGTCATGTATTATGGTGTACGGGGAAGTCAAGCAAAGGTTGTTGTGTTTATTTTGGCTTTTAGTTTACTATTAAATGTTTTTTAAGTGCTATAAATTAGAACACTTGAGGAGTTTTGAGTATTTCACAGATTAGTGGAAAAAAAACTTCCTTATTGCATGTTATTCATTGACAGGTGTGATTCTTTACAGCGTCACTTTGAACACTTTGATGACAAGCTGTACACCATGTGATGCTGAAACACTTTTCCGCGTGTCTCAGCAGTGCAAATCAAATGATGACATATTCTTGTGGTTTATCAGGTCTCAAATCCCGCAGCGATCCTATCCAAAAACATGGAATCACCACCGAGCTATGAACACCCAGAAGGCTCTGCAGATCCCTCTGCTGAACTGTCAGGTATTACTTTAATTGGTTTAGTATATTTACAAAATGTTGTCAGCTGTGCTTTATTGGAATATGTTTGTTCAGATCTCTGATCTAGTTTTTAAAGGAGCAGTATTATGTGTTTACTGGGAACATAGTGTCATTTTGTAGCATAATCAAGTAACTTACCTTCAGTTGTTAAAAAAAAACAACTACTGAAAAAAGACATTGTGCTTCATTTTATTCACAATAATACAGCTACACCTACAGGTGAGGCTACAGGGCGCTCTTCTAATGATGTAGAAGAAGGTAAGGAAATTAAGATAAAATGTTTCTCATCACTTCTCGATCTGGAAACATATATAATTTTTGACAAAATTATTGTGTTGAGCACATATAATGTTCACATTCAATTTTGTTTTGCTGATGTGGAATCAGAAAATGGCCAACAAACTGTGGACAAGGACTCTGGTCGAAAAGCCATTGATGAAAGTCAAGACAACTCATCGAGTAGTGAGAAATTAACAGGTGATCATCAGAGTCTGAGTGTTACTACAGGTTATTTCTCAGTATGATATTTTCTGTGTGATTTTCTGTGTATTATCTGTGTTTCTCTATGAACTCTACTAATAAAAACATTGTGCTTCATTTTATAGACAAAACTACATCTATCCCTACAGGTGAGGCTACAGGATACTCTTCTGATGATGTAGAATCAGTTGGAGGGAGTAAGAAAATTAAGATAAAATGTTTCTCATCACTTCTCGATCTGGAAACATATATAATTTTTGACAAAATTACTGTGTTGAGCACATATAATGTTCACATTCAATTTTGTTTTGCTGATGTGGAATCAGAAAATGGCCAACAAACTGTGGACAAGGACTCTGGTCGAAAAGCCATTGATGAAAGTCAAGACAACTCATCGAGTAGTGAGAAATTAACAGGTGATCATCAGAGTCTGAGTGTTACTACAGGTTATTTTCAGTATGATATTTTCTGTGTGATTTTCTGTGTATTATCTGTGTTTCTCTATGAACTCTACTAATAAAAACATTGTGCTTCATTTTATAGACAAAAACTACATCTATCCCTACAGGTGAGGCTACAGGATACTCTTCTGATGATGTAGAATCAGTTGGAGGGAGTAAGAAAATTAAGATAAAATGTTTCTCATCACTTCTCGATCTGGAAACATATATAATTTTTGACAAAATTACTGTGTTGAGCACATATAATGTTCACATTCAATTTTGTTTTTCTGATGTGGAATCAGAAAATGGCCAACAAACTGTGGACAAGGACTCTGGTCGAAAAGCCATTGATGAAAGTCAAGACAACTCATCGAGTAGTGAGAAATTAACAGGTGATCATCAGAGTCTGAGTGTTACTACAGGTTATTTCTCAGTATGATATTTTCTGTGTGATTTTCTGTGTATTATCTGTGTTTCTCTATGAACTCTACTAATAAAAACATTGTGCTTCATTTTATAGACAAAAACTACATCTATCCCTACAGGTGAGGCTACAGGATACTCTTCTGATGATGTAGAATCAGTTGGAGGGAGTAAGAAAATTAAGATAAAATGTTTCTCATCACTTCTCGATCTGGAAACATATATAATTTTTGACAAAATTACTGTGTTGAGCACATATAATGTTCACATTCAATTTTGTTTTGCTGATGTGGAATCAGAAAATGGCCAACAAACTGTGGACAAGGACTCTGGTCGAAAAGCCATTGATGAAAGTCAAGACAACTCATCGAGTAGTGAGAAATTAACAGGTGATCATCAGAGTCTGTGTTACTACAGGTTATTTCTCAGTATGAGATTTTCTGTGTGATTTTCTGTGTATTATCTGTGTTTCTCTATGAACTCTACTAATAAAAACATTGTGCTTCATTTTATAGACAAAACTACATCTACCCCTACAGGTGAGGCTACAGGATACTCTTCTGATGATGTAGAATCAGTTGGAGGGAGTAAGAAAATGAAGATCAAATGTTTCTCATCACTTCTCGATCTGGAAACATATATAATTTTCGACAAAATTAACATGTGTTGAGTAATGTTCATGTTCAATTTTGTTTTGTTTTGTTTTGCTGATGTGGAATCAGAAAATGGCCAACAAACTGTGGACAAGGACTCTAGTCGAAAAGCCATTGATGAAAGTCAAGACAACTCATCGAGTAGTGAGAAATTAACAGGTGATCATCAGAGTCTGAGTGTTACTACAGGTTATTTCTCAGTATGATATTTTCTGTGTGATTTTTGTGTATTATCTGTGTTTCTCTATGAACTCTACTAATAAAAACATTGTGCTTCATTTTATAGACAAAACTACATCTATCCCTACAGGTGAGGCTACAGGATACTCTTCTGATGATGTAGAATCAGTTGGAGGGAGTAAGAAAATTAAGATAAAATGTTTCTCATCACTTCTCGATCTGGAAACATATATAATTTTTGACAAAATTACTGTGTTGAGCACATATAATGTTCACATTCAATTTTGTTTTGCTGATGTGGAATCAGAAAATGGCCAACAAACTGTGGACAAGGACTCTGGTCGAAAAGCCATTGATGAAGTCAAGACAACTCATCGAGTAGTGAGAAATTAACAGGTGATCATCAGAGTCTGAGTGTTACTACAGGTTATTTCTCAGTATGAGATTTTCTGTGTGATTTTCTGTGTATTGTCTGTGTTTCTCTATGAACTCTACTAATAAAAACATTGTGCTTCATTTTATAGACAAAACTACATCTATCCCTACAGGTGAGGCTACAGAATACTCTTCTGATGATGTAGAATCAGTTGGAGGGAGTAAGAAAATTAAGATAAAATGTTTCTCATCACATCTAGATCTGGAAGCACATATAATTTCTGACAAAAGTAACATGTGTTGAGCACATATGATGTTCATGATTATTTTTGGTTTATTTTGCAGGTGCGGATTCAGATGAAGGTAATAGGTTTCCACCTGGCCAACAACCCAATGATGAAAGTCAAGATAACTCAAGTAGTGAGAAATTAACAGGTGATCATCAGAGTCTGAGTCTTTTTTTCACTTGTATTCTCTATTTTTGAAATATATCCACTGTTTGGGGATTTGACTTTCTGTCTCTAAGTAGTTTGATTAAACTGGCTAGGAAGAAAAATATATTATTTGACCTAACAATTTAAAAATATGATTACTACTTTTGTTTAGTGTTGCACTTATAGATTTACCCAAAGGGTATTATTTTCAGACTAATGATAAAAAGCCTCATCGACAATCAAAACCTGATGGCCATTTTTAGTCCAAATGGTCCTGCAGGTTCTTATTTCTTTCTGTATTTTATGTTTATTATCTAAAAGAGTTGACTACAAGCCTCATTTATAGTTTTTGTTGTCTGTGCTTCATGAAATAGTCACTTTTGCTTAACATAAAAATAAACACAAAATATAAACTTTGCAACAACCAATGAACAACAAAAATGTCTAAAAATCCGTCAAAAACAAAGAATTCAGTGAAATTGGAGAACCTCCACTTCATTTATAAAGCCAAACTTTGTTTTTTTTTTATATTCTCAGATTTGTTAAAAACCTCAGCAGTGTCTCAAAAGGAGTGTCCAAATGAAGAAATAGAAAAACAGAAGATAAAGATGAGCAAAAGAGTAGATGTTGAACCATTAGTGATTTTGTTTAATGTTATTATGATACAAACATTATAAAGATGTTGATGGGTAATTGTATAAAATCCCTTGTAAGACGCATCTAAACCTCTCTTGACAGGACGCAGAACACTATTGGTAGGAGTGGCTATAGTGGCACTTGTTGCCATTGTAGCACAGTATTACCACCAATCCAAATCTCAACCTCAGAAGACTGATTGGCAACAGGTAGATGTTTTCCTCAAGCACATGAAAAACGTAAAAGCGAAGTTTCCCAATCAGCGCGCTGAGCTTTGGAGCAGGAGTGAAATCCACCTGAAGAGGCACCTCCAGACCAGCCAACCCACAGAGCCTGTGAGCCTGATCCTGACATCAGGTGTCAGAGCCGAGAGGACCATGCGCTGCCTGGCTCAGGGTGTGGCCTCCGCCTTCTCCACCGCCCGCAACGCTTCCATCCTCCACATCGACGGAGCGGGAAAAGCCGGCCAAGACAGCGACCAGGTCAAACTGGACATTGACAGAAAGCTGCAAGGAGCTTTCGAGGGAGACAAGCCCGTAGCGGTGATTCACCGCCTGGAAGAGCTGCCTCCGGGCTCCACGCTCATATTCTACCGCTACTGCGATCACGAGAACGCCGCCTACAAGAAGACTTTTCTGATCTTCACAGTGCTGCTGGGTGACAAAGAGGAGATCCCGGCCGAGATGCGCTTGAGCATCGTGGAGGAGATGGTGGACGATTACTTGCAGAAGAAATTTCTGTCTCACAGTCACCCGGTGTCTTTCGACAGGATGGATATCAATAAGTACGGCGGACTGTGGAGCCGCATTTCCCACCTCATCCTGCCGGTGGCGGCAGAGGACAGAATAGAGCATGAAGGATGCTAGAGGACTCAACTCTGTTCTGAGTTTTGGATCTGAGCACTGGAGTAGCACGCAGCTGTAAAACCTCTTACCGGGATATTTATTCTGGTGCTCCTTGCTGTGGTTTTAAACAATATTTTAAACAATGCATATTTGTAACAGGAATTTTACTGAAATTCAGTTGCATCGATATATTAGGTCTCATTCGAAAGTGGGACATTGTAAGAATTTAATTCATTGAGAAGTCTTTGACAAAAAGGCTTATGCGCTTTATTCTTTTAATCTTTTGTTGAATTCATAAGTGGGATGAGAAATGTTATTTGGATGTTGGAGCGGCGGGATTTTTAACTGCTACATTTTAAACACACTCAATGTAAAATAAATCATATTCACACAACTTTCACATAGAGCTGGCATCACATTAGGTTTATGATTTTAGTTTCTGCAATGACTGACTGGCACCATGTGCCTTAAAGTAGGCCTCTGATTTTCTTTGTGTCAACCATGTTTCGAATAGAAAAGGATACGAGTTAAATGTGCCTTAAATTAGAAATAAACACTTATTTTAATTTAAAAGGCCTGTTTTATTGTCTCTGAGGTGAACAATTTCATGGACCCTATACAGTCCGGAATTGGGATTTTATTTAAGCAATTTCTTTAGAAATGAATATAGAAAATCTATATTTTAGATTTTGACCTCAAAATCTAAAAAGATGAGTAATTTCATAAAGCCCACTATCATTGATTTGTCCATCGTCCAAACACCCATTTACCATCCATCGATGCATATGTCTACCCATGTATTGTTGTATCTGTTTATTCTTCTATTTTAGATTCACATATTTGTTTTTCCATGTTCCATAAAGTCTGGAACATGGAGTACCCAGCCAGTGACATGTTCTTCCCTTATTTTTGTTTTTTAAATATTGTCCTGGTGTAATATTCTGATCTTCAATGTCATGTTTTCATTAGTTTAGCTGTAAGCAAAAAAAAAAAAAAATTCAGTCGTGTAATTTATTGATTGGGTCTGTACACGATTTACTTATGTGTGAAAAACCTCTAAGTGTCGAGTCAGTGGGAAAGTTTGACCTCAAAATCTAATATGGCTACCCTGAACTAGTTGAAGCTGAGAGATTACTTCAGTTGGAAAAAAAAAAAAAGATTGCTTTTCTGATGAGTTGTACGTGTTTCATCATTTCACATTTGCAATGCAATGAAATTCCTTCACTGTACGCAGAAATGAAAAGCACAAAGTCCAGTCATCAAGTCATTAGCCTGGTTGCTGATTATTCAATTTATATGTTCCTTGGAGTTGGAGCCTTGAGCTCTGCATCACAATTACTTACAAATAATGGATATCAGAATTTGCTCTGGCTGCTATCAGCAGCACTTGTATCTAAGCCAGAGAACTATGCCATTACTAGAGAAACTATTAAGGCGTCTGGAAATGCATGTGGAAGCCCTGTAGGGGGCAGCAACAACCCAGCATGAAGCGCTTACGCATGTTAGTGCTGCAAAACAGTTGGAATCGAGTCTGAACATTTATTTATTGTTTTGTAAAGGCAACCTAAGATATGTTTTGAACATTGTAGATTTTGGCTGCAGAAAACGTTTGACTCCAGTACAGCTTTTTTCCATAAAAAAAAGAAAAAGAAAGAGGAAAAAAAAAATAGATCAGATCACAGTCTGGTGTAACACCGCCTCCTGTCTGCTCGCCTGCAGCTGCAGATGCCGGGGCTTCTCTCTCTGTCAGGAGTATACACCTTTATTCCAGCCTCATAACTTCCATTCATTCTGACTGTAAACTATGACCTAGCAGGGGGGGTGTAATCTTAATCTGGATGACTGATGGCGTTAGTTGATGTCGATTGTCAGATTTTTTTTTCATCAATATAATCTGAGTATTTTATTCATTTTTTAATTTTTTTTTTTTTTTTGCCATTCTTGGTATAGTTTTTTTTTCTACTTCGATTTGAGTTTCATGCTGTGGCGTCTGCAATAGCTCTCTTTGGAGTTCTGGGACGCTCACAGCATGTATAGGTTATGCGTTTTTGTCGCAGTGTGCTGCGCTTTTTCCTCTCCGAGCTCTGCCGCGCCAAAGTGCAGAAGTACAGCTCCAAAAGTGTCTGATCCGTCTCTGCTTAAGAGCAGTGCAGAGGACGAGCTCCAAGAAGAAATGGAAGGTCAAGAGGACATAATATCTAAGGTAGGTGCATTATTATTATTATTATTATTATTATTATTATTATTATTATTATTTTATTATTATTATTATTATTATATTATTATTATTATTATTATTATTATTATTATTTTCTCAATCTTCAATGCAAAATTTGAAATTGATCGCGGTGGGAATTTTTTTTTTATTTTTTTATCCATCCTCTTCTCTTTATAGCTGCTGGGTGATTATGACAAAGTGAAAGCCCTCTCGGAAGGCGCTGACTGTCGGTGTAAATGTGTTGTCAGACCCCTGAGCAGGAGCGCCTGTCGGCGGATCGAAGAGGGAAGCGCCACCGCGCAGGACTTCTACACCGTGGAGACGATCACATCTGGACCGGAGTGCAAGTGCGCCTGCATCGCGCCTCCGTCGGCGGTCAACCCCTGCGATGCAGAGTTCAGGCTGAAAAAGCTCAGGGAGGCTGGGAAAGACAATGTCAAGGTTCAGGACCTCACCTTGTCCAAGCACAGCCCCCTAACACTGAAAATGCTGCCCATTCTTTCTGTCAAACTGCCTCGAGCTTTGCCTCAGATCTTCCCACTTCTCATTTAAATGTAGAAATGGACTTTGACTGGGCCATTCAGACACCTGCGTATTCTGTAATAATCAAAGTCATTCCGTTGCCATTCTGGCTTAGGATCATCATCCCGTTGGAAGGTGAACTTCAAGACTTCAAGTCTTTTAGCAAACCCTCCCAGGTTTTCTTCCGGTATTAAATGCGCTTTCTTTGTGAATTGGTTGCACTGGATTTAGTTACAGGTAAAGGAGGTGAAGACAAACACATGCCACACTTTTCAGAGTTTCGTCTGCAAAAAGTGTAAAAAAATAAATCCCTAACAATTATAATTTCACGTAATCTGAATTCAAAGAGTTCCCTTTACTGTTGAGAGGCACTGCAAAACACCTTGCTGCAGATCTTTATGCTACCTTTTCAATTCCTGAGAGTCCCAGACCTCAAAGAATGGCTAATAACGTCATGTCACGTCAGAGCGGATACATACTGTTTTATGAATGGCTACACTGTTTTGATGGAGCTCCCTTGATCGTTGCAGCTGTCCACCATCCTTGAGCTGCTGGAGGGTTCCTTCTATGGGATGGATCTACTGAAGCTGCACTCTCTGACAAACAAGCTCCTGCAACGAGTGGAACACATCGAGAAGGCGCAGGTAAAGCGGTGCCAAAATAAAATGCAAGTGGCAACAAAAAAAATCAGCAACTCACAATTTGGACAATTTTAGATTTACAATAATTCATGCCATGATAGAAGTGCCCTTCATTTTTTGTCATGTAGAAATTGACCAACTAACTTTCATCAAGCAAAAAAAAAAAAATTAAAACCTCTAACTCAGTTTTTTTTTTCTATTAAATTCAGCTCAAAGGTGAAAATACCAATAAAAGTAACACAAAATGGTATGCATTGGATGTTTCGCTTCTGACATGGTCCAGATTAGAAAGAATAAAGCAAAATCTAAACAACAGTCTCTTGACCGTTCACACTAATGCTTCACTGATGACAAGTTTTTCCAGCTAAAATAGAGGAGGAGCAGCTGAGACTGCGCTCAAGTCATCATATACAGTTGATCATAAATCACACGCGCCCCAACAGGTGCAGCAAAAACAAAAGCAGGGTTTGCTCTGCAAGTCTGAAGAAAGGAATCCTTCTAAAGCATGTTGCTACACACTGGATCAGTTTTAAGTCTTAAAAAACATCTGGAATTAAATGTTATTCAGGCACTTCTCAATGACTATGGAAGGGCACAGTTACAATCAGCCATCACATGTCTGATAAAAAGAATAGTTGTACAGTGGATGAAATGCCTGCAATAAAGAGTTGAAACATTTTCTGCTTTGTGTCGCTATTTTTACGTTTTTGATTTAGCAGGGGATTTTTTAATCATAATTTTTGTTTTTCTTTATTTGGGAATGAATGCAATCACGAGGACTTACAGATGTGCTTGTTTTCCTTCTTTTTTCAGACTCTTATTGATTATCAAACTAATTCTAACATCAAATCAAGTCATCACAAAGATAAGCTGAGTAAATGCAAAGAGTGGCTTTTATAGATTGATTTCATTTATCTCAATAAATGAAATCAAATCTCAATAAATGAAATCAAACCAACTCAGCCCATGTTTTATCAGGGATTACCTTATTAACCACATTTTCTTTTTACCAGAATAAATTAATCACTTAAAGCAACCTCTTCAGATCACAAGTTTGATTTAAAAGATCTCAAAAGACAACGCATTATGCCTCAGTTTGAAGAAATTCAAAAACAATGACAAACTTTTAGAGACAAATGTTGAAAACTCAAGTCCTTCTCTGTATGGATACTTAATGTTGTACGCTTTTCAGCATTGATATTATCCACATTGTTTTCACTGTCAGTTTAATTGTTGAAGGATTTAATAAACATCAAAAATTGAAAAAAAAAACAACGAACAAGTGACGAAGAAAGCTCTAGGTTGCTATCCATCTTGAAAAAGTTACAAATTAATTTCTAAGGGTTTGGGCTTTCAGTGAATCACAGTGACTCAATATCTGTAAACAGAGAAAATCTGAGACAATGGTGAACTTTGGTCAACCACAATCACGCCAAAAGTAACAAGGCTTAGCTGTTACGTTAAGTTAAAAAACTTAACAGCTAACAGCTACATTTGTCAAAGAATAGCTTGGTAATGTTTCAAGACTGATTGGGGTTTTGGATTCACATTAATAGTTCAAGTAGAGAACTTTTGATGCTCAGGGTCGATACAAAAAGTAATCTCACCTTCTGCACCATAGGCAGAAAAGTATACAGTGAAACACCCGGCAAAGATGCAAGTCGGAAAGCAGCTTGATCCAACTTCTCTTCTACTTTGGTTAATTAACATCTTGTTCTTAAATTTAAGTTACATGCTCTAAAACCTACAATACTTTCTGGTACTTATCTTCCAGGCAGTGTCTCTGAACCACACTGTTGGCAAAGTGCAGCCTGAGGAGAGTCCTCTTTTGAAAATGGAAGTAACTGAAAGGCCTCCTACTCCTCTTCCTCATCCGCATCAGGACAGGAGAGCCGACGATGTTGGTGAGGCAGCAGCTTATCGGTACCCACAGGTGAGAGGCAAAGTTTGACACATTGATAAGGACTAACATAGTAACTGTGGTGTCATTGTAATGATTGAACTACTAGCAGTTCATGTGCATATAATTCGAGTAATTACATATAATTTCTGTGATACATTATCACAGAAATTGGACACTATCTACCCTCATACAGCCAATCCACTGGCTTTTTTCTCATGACTTTCCCTCCTTTGGTTTACAGTTTATTTTGTAACTGTAAGATGAGCAGAACTAGAAACAAAATTATGTT